ACTTAAATTTGCCATTTTGATAAAAACTCAAACTTTTCTATATTACATAAGTACCCTCAATCAAATCCCACAAATCCCGTCACTTTACCTTTTGAAATAATATCAAATCCCACCATATTTTCCCGTTAAAACACTATCCCCACAAACCCACTACCAAAAAATCTGCAAACCTCTCAAAACCAGAAATTTATACGGATCTCGCGGACGGTGCCGGGGGAATTAGATGAGGAAAGTACTTGCTCCTCGCCGGAGTCCGACGGAGACACCGTCCGCTGTGGTGCAGCGTCGTAGCAATTTTCCGGCGCTGGATTTCGCACAACAGCCTTTTCTCGTCTTTTCGAAAGCATTCATTGGAGAACTCCCACCGATCAGGCATAACCTTCCCAAATCTCTAAAAATTCATCAGATAAGCAACTCAATCAATAACCGAAAAAAATAAAATAAAACCAAAATTCCTCGTTACAGATCGAAGGATTCGATTAGCAAAAGCTCACGTAAGTATTCAGTTGCCGAACGAAACTGGAGAAATTGTTGTGCTTGAAATACTTGGGCAGCAAATCTCTGGCAAACTCACGTAATTTGGCCCAACGAAACCGATAATATACTAATAAACTATCCCACTGATATAATTTGACTATGGATCTCGTTAATCGACTATGGGCCGCCGTCACTGCTCCAATCTAGGGTTACTCAAATCTAGGATTACTCAAATCTATGGTTTTGATAATTCTTCGGCCCATAGTTGATTAACGAGATGCATAGTCGAATTACATCTGTGTTAATATGCTATCCCATATCATTTAATAGACTATCCCTGTGGTATAATTTTACTATGGATCTCGTTAATCGACTATGGGCCGAAGAATTATCAAAACCATAGAATAATAATTATAATAATATATATGGAAACTGAATAATATGTTTGTTTGAAATACTAATCAATTAGGGTAATTTTCCTTGTTATATGAAAACGATTAGGGTAAATAATAATATATATGAAAAAATAATAATATAAATGGAAACTGAATAATATGTTTGTTTGAAATACTAATCAATTAGGGTAATTTTCCTTACATCATGTAATAGACTATCTCATTGATCTAATTCGACTATGGATCTCACTAATCGACTATGGATCCCGTATTATTCAACCACATAGTATATTAATAATTTCAATATAGTACATTAATCTGCTATGATAGTATATTACGGTTATAGTAGTGATATGAAATTGTGTTACAAACAATACACCACTGAAATGACAAGAACATTGAGAACAAAACAAACGTAAAGTATTCCAACATAACCAATAAAATAGTACATTAATAATCTCATAATTTCAATCTAGGGTTTTGATAAAATACTTAAAACATCATAACACAATCAAACCAATATGTCGAGTTAAAAATCTCTAGTACATTAATAATCTCATAATAGTATAATAAAATGATAATGGAGTATCATATGGTATTCATAATAGTATACTACTGTATTACAACGGTTTAGCACTTAACTGACGTTACCGAGCCATTACATCGTAAACACCTCTTTATAGCAACCAACCCACCAAACCTCGAAATCATGTCCTCATCGTCAGCCAAGATACATTACCAACGCCTTCCAGCCTATATGTCATGCTTATATCCCACCCATCGAGTTGTGGCCACTTTGAAATAACAAATGCAACCAATGAACCGCGAGTAAACCCATTCGAACACCTTTTTATAGCAACCAACCCACCAAATCTCAACAAAATCCGTACAAAATTCGCCACCGATAAAAACCTTGAATCATGATACGACATTAAAAATACAAAATACTAAAAAATATATTAATATGATCAAAAATAAACTTAAAATGCAAAATTCATACGATAACTTAAAAAAGACTACAAAGTATATTTTAATGTACTACCCAGCGTCCTAAAATCCGCTGTTATAAACAAATAAATCAACTATCGACCGGGATCAGACACATGAACTCCACGACCGCGGACAGTTATTTCAATTACTACGTAAACCAACTACGATGTTCATATAAAATAACTCTGGTCCAATCTGCGTGAACAATCCTTATCTAACTCTGTCAATCCTCTTCCAAACAAACATCATCCGCCAAAATTAACGATGTATATATGACGGAATAATTTTGTTAAAAAACGTTCTACATAATATAATCAAGTATCAACACAACTCTTAAAATTTCTAACCACCGTACACGACGATCCTAGCCATTGAACGAAAAATAAATCAAAAAACGCATTCATACCCGGTTAACAACGTCCAACTGATGAGCGCTCAATTCGATCCTATTTCCACGACGGTGCAGAAATCTTCAAAGATAAAAAAACCCATGGAACGCTGAAAGAGAACATCCGAAAATATTATACACGATTTGGTATAACGGCCAATGATCTCACGTAATATTATTCCGTGATTTTAGGCAACGTATCAGCAAATCTCAAATCACGTATTAAAGGAATTAAATGCCGTTTAAAAATAAACAGGGGTATTAAAGGGAAATTATATAATATATTTTGCCAAGTTGGCAAAATTGGGTCTATCTCAAAAAGTGGAAAAAAAATTGGATCTACCTCATTAGAAAATATGAACAAGGGGGTTATCCCTAATAAACCCTTTTTTTTTCCATTTTCAAAATAGCAATCCAAACAAAAAAAATATGTATTGAAAATTTTGATTTGCACTTTAATTGCACAAGGCAACATGTTTTGAATTGCATAATGCAGTTTGTTGTTTGTATGAAATGAAAAATAACAGAAGACAAAATCAACTGCACCTACAATGAACCTAGAATGAAAGCACTGACTGAGAAACAGAACCACCATTTTCGGTTGATGCCGCTCACATGATGAAGTTCCTCGATAGTGTGAGTGACAAAAAATATTTTTTGATCATTTGCATTCATCTTGCTCTTTGAAGTTTAATTTATTGTTTGCAGCAAATTTAATTTCTTGTGAAAATATTACCCAATAGCAAACTTATCGTTACAATTTCCGATTGGTGCTTTTTTAGATCGTTGTTACATATTTATAATATTGTTATAATTTCATTTTTCTATTCCAAATTGCAATGTTAATTTTTTTTATTGCAAACGTATTTTGTCGTTTTAAATAACTTTGATTATTTATTTATACAAAATCAATTAGAAAATGCAAACAAAAATTCCAAATCAGAGAGAGAGAGAGAGAGAGAGAGAGAGAGAGAGAGAGAGAGAGAGAGAGATTTATTTTCTCACATCTAAGAGCCTGTTTGGCTAAGCTTATAAGCTCCTAAAAACATCTTATAAGATGTTTAAAAGCTTATAAGTTGTTTAAAAGTGTTTGGTAAAAATATTAGAAACGATCTTATTTTTGCCAAAAATAAGCTGTTAGGAAACTTATAAGATGTTTTTAAAAAGTACCTCCACCCCACATTTTTTCGTATTCTTGTAATCAAGATTAATTATTAGTTAAAATATAATTTCATAATAATTGTTAAAAAAAAATTGTTCTCTATTTACATTTTATATGTATATAAAACACCCGAATATTCTTATTATCTCAATAATAAATTATATTTCTTTTATCTATTAAAAAAAATACATTTCTTTTACAACCTTTATTGTATATTAATATATTAATTTTATATTATTATTTTTATTTGAAAAATAAATTTGTAAATATTATAATAATATTTTAGGAACAAAAATATTGGAGTCAAATAAGTTTAACAGTTACAATGGCGTCATGTACTTTTTTGTCATTATAGCGATAAACAGACCTTTTTATTTCCAAATACCTGAAGAAATTATAAAAACTAAAAGTAACTTATAATCTACATATCCAAACACCTTAAAAAATATTTTTTTAAATAAGATCTTACAACTTATCAGCTTCTAAAGCATCTTATTAGATGCAAGAGCTTATAAGATGTTTTAAATAAGCTTAGCCAAACGGGCTCTAAGCCTACATTCATATAATAAATAGGACCTCTAGCCATATAACTTCAAGAAATAGGACCTCTAACCAATTTCCCCTTTATGAATAGTTGAACGAAATCACCAAAAATCGTATATCATAGCTCAAGTTTTCTGATAAAAAACAAAAAGAAGCTGAAATGGTGACATGGTCGGTTCTGAGAGGACGCGAAGTAGGCGGTCGCCTAGGGCCCCTGGATTTTCGTAAAAATTTAGGGCCCCCAAATTTTTTTATACCCTTTATATATATTAGTACTTATTAAAAAAAATATATATTATTTAAATAAATATTCAGATTTATAATTCATAAATAGATATTGATCAACGATTTTTGCTTGTTTCTATAATTCCTCTAATTATGGGCCCCCAATTATTAAATTTATAGTTCATTAGCTATTTAATTTTATATATATACACTTGTTTTAGTGCTACTTAATGAAAATTACCCTTAAAAAAAAATCGGGGGCGCTGCCCCCGAACCCCCGGAAACTATAACATAACTATATCAAAAATTTATGGCCTTGCCTCTGGCTATATATCTTACAAAAACGAATTAACATAGAGTTTATCATCTTTTTAGAAAGAAAAAAAAGTTTTAGTGTAGAAGGGCCCCATTTTTCAACCATCTTCAAAACTCCACTAGGACCCCCCAAATCTCAAGAACGGCCCTGAATGGTGATGTCTTTTTTTAGTAGTTTTGAACACTAAAATATATCGCATAAAAGTTGTAAATTCATAATTAGCTCGACACAAATTTACACCAGATGCAACTCGTAATTAACTCTATTTATTTCTCCGCAACAGACTTGAAGAGGAAAAAAAAAAACTTCAAATGTTTCTACCAAACAAATAAGAAATAAGGAGTTTCACCAAACAAGACACATCAGAAAGAATAAAACTTGATAGTGATAAAAAAAAAACACTACAATGTGCACATTAGTGAGTATAAATATAGTCTAAACCATTATTGTTGCACTGGCTCAACACCAGTCACTTGAACAAAGCCAGAAAGATTTAGAAAAAAGAAAGATCAATGACCAGCAACAACCGGTTCGTCAACCTGTTGGGCGGGAACAACCATCAAATTCCCATGAGAATCAAGGTCAATAATAACGGAATCACCTCGTTTAATTTCACCGGCACGCACCTTGTCCTCAATATTATGCTCCAATGTCATCTCAAGAAGCCAGCCAGTAGGCCAGGCAAACACCCTATACATAAACCTCTCAGTTAATTGAAGATCAATAGCCTTGTTCTCTTTCGCCTTCTTTTTGGCTCGCTTTCTTGATCCATTAGAACCTTTTAACCTCTCAGTTAATTCATCATTAGGACCCCTTAACCTCTCAGTTAATTGAAGCTGAATAGCCTTCTCATCTTTTGCTTCACTACAACCCTCCAACTGACCACTATTTACCAAACCGATCTTAGGCAGATAGGCGTATCGGAAATAATCATTACTCATGTCTGGCCCCAATTGCTCTGCCTATAAGTTATACAAATTAGAAAACAACCTGTTGAAATAATAAACTAGATTAAGTGTATTAAAGAATATTCTAGAAGGTTAATTCATGTATTAGTTTATTCATGTATTTGGTTTTAATTAAAGTTCATGTACTAGTTAGAGGGGAAGAATTAAATTAAATAGTGATACATGTACTAGACTAGATTCATGTTGGGAAAATCCTATAAATACCACATGAACTCTAGCCATTTGTAACAAGTCAAGTTTTCAAGTTTAATAGAATTCTCCTATTCTCCTCCACTTTTTCGTGTGTGTGTGTGTGAGTGTTGAGTGAGTGTGCTCTCCATTTTCCAACAAAGTGGTATCAAGAGCCAACTTGTGTTTGGAGAGACGTAAGTTTGAAGAAAATAATGTCGAACGGAATTCCATTTCAAGTTCCAAAACTCACAAAAGAAAATTATGGAACTTGGTGCATCCGAATGAAGGCGTTGCTTGGAGCTTATGATGCTTGGGAACCTGTTGAGAACGGAGTTGAGGGTGAAGATGCTGCCTCCGTAAAGAAAGATCAAAAGGCCCTTACGGTCATTCATCAAGGCCTAGATGAGGTGATGTTCGAGAAGGTTGCTAGCGCAACCACCTCCAAGCAAGCATGGGATATTCTTCAAACTTCTTTTAAAGGAGTTGATAAAGTAAAGAGAGTTCGTCTCCAAACATTAAGAGGAGAGTTCGAGTCGCTGAAAATGAAGGAATCCGAATCGATTTCGGATTACATGTCAAGAGTTTTGGCCAATGTTAATGAAATGAAGAGGTATGGAGATGACATCACGGATGAACGGGTCGTTGGAAAGATTCTACGATCCTTAACTCCAAAGTTCAATTACGTGGTCGTGGCCATCGAAGAGTCCAAGGATTTGGACACCATGACCGTTGACGAGCTTGCCGGATCGCTGCAAGCCCATGAAGAAAGAGTGAAGCCAAGACAAGAATTGGTGGAGCATGCTTTTCAAGCAAAGCTCTCTTTCAAAGAAAAAGATGAAAGGCGTACTACGTTCCAAAGAGGCCGAGGACGTGGACGAGGTCGTGGAAGAGGAAGAGGCGGCTACCAATCCTCACATAAAGAAGAGATAGGCCAAACATCATATCAAGGAAGGGATCGTGGCCGTGGACGAGATAGAGGAGCAGTCTCGAGGCCAAACCAAAGAAGATATGACAAGTCTAAAATTGAATGTTACTCTTGTCATAACTTGGGGCACTTCGCATGGGAGTGTCGAAATAATTTGGAGGAGAAAAATAACTTTGCGGAGAGCAACAATGAAGAAGAAGATCCCACCTTACTTCTCGCGTGCAAAAGAGACGTGGACGAAGATATCAATCAGTGGTATCTTGATTCCGGTGCAAGTAACCATATTTGTGGAAATAGAGATTTGTTCTTTGAGCTTGATGAGTCTACTGGAGGCAATATCACTTTTGGAGACTCGTCAAAAGTGCAAATCAAAGGAAAAGGTACGATTTTGATTCGTTTGAAGGATGGAAGCCATCAATTTATTTCTAGTGTCTTTTATGTTCCGGGAATGAAGAACAACATCTTGAGCTTGGGGCAACTTTTGGAGAAAAATTATGATATTCAATTGAAAGATAGATGCTTGTCCATTAAAGATGAAAATGGAAAGTTGCTCACAAAGGTGCCGATGATGAAGAATAGAATGTTTTTATTAAACATTCAAAATGATGTTCCAAGATGCTTGAAAGCTTGCGTTCAAAATCCGTCGTGGCTATGGCACATGAGGCTTGGACACTTAAATTTTGAAGGCCTAAGAGTGATGAGCATGAAGCGTATGGTGAACGGCTTGCCAATTATTGATCTTCCAAATCAGCTTTGTGAAGGATGTCTTTTTGGAAAGCAACCTCGAAAAAGCTTTCCAAAGGAGTCTTTGACAAGAGCTCAAAATCCATTGGAGTTGGTTCACTCAGACGTTTGCGGACCTATCAAGCCATCATCACTTGGGAATAATAATTATTTCCTATTATTCATTGATGATTTTTCTCGAAAGACTTGGGTGTATTTCTTGAAAGAAAAATCCGAGGTATTTGAAACTTTCAAGAAGTTTAAGAGCTTGGTGGAAAAACAAAGTGGCTACCAAATCAAAGCGCTTCGAACCGATAGAGGAGGAGAATTCACTTCAAATGAATTCATGGATTTCTGTGGAGTAAACGGCATACATCGTCCTATGACGGTTCCAAGATCACCACAACAAAATGGCGTGGTTGAACGAAAAAACCGGACAATTCTCAATATGGCGAGGAGCATGTTGAAAAGTAAAAATATGCCGAAGGAACTATGGGCTGAAGCGGTGGCATGTGCTGTCTACTTATCCAATCGGTGTCATACCAAAAGCGTTCATGGAAAAACACCTCAAGAAGCATGGAATGGATTCAAGCCAAGTGTTTCACACCTGCGAGTTTTCGGGAGTATAGCCTATGCACATGTACCGGATCAAAAGAGGACTAAGTTGGATGACAAAAGTGAAAGGTACGTGTTTATCGGCTATGATCAAAATTCAAAAGGGTATAAATTGTACAATCCAAGCAATGGAAAAATTATTCTCAGTCGAGATGTGGAGTTTGATGAACAAAGCAATTGGGAATGGGATAATTCAAAAGAGGAGTACAATTTTTATCCATTCTTTGATGAAAATGATGGTGATTTACATCCTACTAGTCCACCTCCAACACCTCCACCACAAAGTCCGGCAATTGGAGAAGCAAGTTCTAGCGAAGGACCTCGGAGAACTAGAAGTCTAAGAGACTTGTATGATGCAACCGAAGAGGTAACACAAGATTTTGGTAATTTAAACCAATTCTGTTTCTTTGGTGATTGTGAACCTCTAGGTTATGAAGAAGCCGCATGTGATAAGAAATGGAGAGATGCCATGGATGAAGAAATCAAGGCAATCAAGAAAAACGAAACATGGGAGTTGGCAAAATTACCAAACGGGAAAAACACCATCGGAGTCAAATGGGTGTACAAAATAAAAAGAAACTCCAAAGGCGAGGTGGAGAGATATAAAGCAAGATTGGTGGCAAAAGGCTACAAACAAAAGGCTGGCGTTGACTATGGTGAGGTGTTTGCTCCCGTTGCTCGTTTGGAAACTATTCGAATAATGATTTCTTTGGCAGCCCAAAATCAATGGCAAATCCATCAAATGGACGTGAAGTCCGCTTTCTTGAATGGTATTTTGGAAGAGGAAGTCTACATTGATCAACCTTTGGGTTATGAGGTTAAAGGTGAAGAAGACAAAGTCTTGAAATTGAAGAAAGCTCTTTATGGCTTAAAGCAAGCACCTCGTGCATGGAATAGTCGAATCGATCAATATTTTCAAGCAAATGATTTTTCAAAATGTCCACACGAACATGCACTTTATGTGAAGAAATCTAAAAGTGGTGACATTTTGCTTGTTTGTTTGTACGTGGATGACTTGATTTCGACAGGAAATAATCCAAAGATGTTCGAGGAGTTCAAGATGGCTATGGCGAAAGAGTTCGAGATGACTGATATTGGCTTAATGTCCTACTACCTTGGCATTGAGGTGAAACAAGGAAGTGACGGTATCTTTATTTCTCAAGAAAGATACGCCAAGGAAATTCTCAAAAAGTTTGATATGGAGAATTGCAAGCCGGTTAGCACTCCGGTGGAATGTGGAGTCAAGCTTTCAAGACAAGGAAATGGTGAGAAAGTCAATCCTACAAACTTCAAAAGTCTAATTGGGAGTTTAAGGTATTTGACTTGTACACGACCGGATATTCTATTTGCCGTTGGGTTAGTTAGTCGGTTTATGGAAGTTCCTACTACTTCTCATTTGAAGGTTGCAAAGAGAATACTTCGGTACATCAAAGGTACACTTGATTATGGGATTTTATATTCTCATTCTCAAAATTTTGAACTTGTTGGTTATTGTGATAGTGATTGGGCCGGTGACATTGATGATCGTAAGAGTACTACCGGGTTTGTATTCTTTATGGGAAATTCATGTTTTACTTGGAGTTCAAAAAAGCAACCCATTGTTACTCTTTCTACTTGTGAAGCGGAATTTGTAGCAGCAACTTCTTGTGTTTGCCATGCGATTTGGCTTAGAAGTTTGATGGAAGAATTTCACGAACCACAAGAAGACCCGACGAAGATTTTTGTTGACAACAAATCAGCACTTGCATTGTCGAAGAATCCGGTGTTTCACGAAAGGAGCAAACATATTCATACAAAATATCATTTCATACGAGAAAGTGTTTCTAAGAAAGAAGTGGTCCTTGAGTTTGTGAAGTCTCAAGATCAAGTTGCCGACATATTCACCAAACCATTGAAGAGCGACGTGTTTCAAAGATTGCGAATGTCTCTTGGTGTGATGAATCTAGTTTAAGGGGGAGTGTTGAAATAATAAACTAGATTAAGTGTATTAAAGAATATTCTAGAAGGTTAATTCATGTATTAGTTTATTCATGTATTTGGTTTTAATTAAAGTTCATGTACTAGTTAGAGGGGAAGAATTAAATTAAATAGTGATACATGTACTAGACTAGATTCATGTTGGGAAAATCCTATAAATACCACATGAACTCTAGCCATTTGTAACAAGTCAAGTTTTCAAGTTTAATAGAATTCTCCTATTCTCCTCCACTTTTTCGTGTGTGTGTGTGTGAGTGTTGAGTGAGTGTGCTCTCCATTTTCCAACACAACCAAAATAGACGTATGTATGAATGCATCAACATCTACGGAATAGCTACCAACAAATATAGCAAACATGACCTGACCTGCTTTTTATTTCAAATAATGTTTTTATTTCAAATAATTAGAGGCTGGTATCATTTAAACAAAACACAAGAGGAGTACGTAAACAATCTTACAAGCATCCTCTCAAACAAACTAGAATTACACATATATCATTTAAAACTCTAACAACAAAGGAAGCGATCAGAAATCATCTTCAATAAAAACAATTACAAACATAAGATCCAAATTACTACCGCACAACCAAATCTAAAAGAGAAAGCCACAATCTCGTACAGAAACACGGAGAAAATTTATATATTTGGAGGTGTACGTATATGTGTATGCAATAAGATGTGTAGAGAGAGAGAGAGAGAGAGAGAGAGAGAGAGAGAGAGAGAGAGAGAGAGAGAGAGAGAGAGAGAGAGAAAATCCGGAATTGAATAGGTGGAATCAGAAGAAATACTTTGATTGGAGAGGGGAGTGTAAGGCGAGAACGAGGAGAAGGGCCGATCATTTGCAGAGTGATATTAACCATTACATCATCTTCTTCGATTAGATCGGCCATGGCTCCAACCCAACTGTTGTACCTCAAGGTACAAATACAACTGATGAGGGGTATTTTCGTCATATTTTGAAAAAAATATAATAGCAGGGGTGTTTTTGTATTTATGTGTAGTATAGGGGAGTAAATGATACAAAGTCCATAGTACAGGGGTGTTTTTGTATTTAACCCTATTTATTATAAATAAACGAAGCATACATGTATATGTCAATATTACCCCCAACCCTTTATACTCAATTCTCAATTGTAACCCCAATTTAATCCAATTTTGACCACGAAAAAAAAAAGGTCAACGCCGGAGACCGGTGAAAAAATCCGGAAGAATTTTTTTTTCGAAAAGTCAACACCGGAGACCGGCGTTGACCGCCGGTCAACACCGGAATCCGGCGGCAAAATATTTTTTTTTGAAAATAAAGTTTTGGGTCAAAATTGAATAATTTGTGAAATTTGGGGTCAAATTGAGGTTAAATTAAATTAAGGATGAAATTGAAGCATATTAAAGTATGAGGGGCTATTTTAGTCTTTTACAAAAATTTGGACCATGTGTGCAATTAATTGTAAAGGAGTTCTTTATCTGGATATCTTTATGAATAAGTACTAATTGATGGGCTTATTTGTAATTACCCCTTACATAATTAATCCAATAATTTTTTTCCATATTTTTTAATAATCTTTATATATAAAATAAAGGTTTGCCCCACACCCTAAAAACAATTTTTTTTTAAGATTTTAGTGAAATATTTGTTTCTTTTTTTATTTTCTCCTTTATTTTCTCCCTTATTTTTTCCTTTATTTATTTTTTCTTCCTTTTTTTTATAGAATACATTTCGATTTTTTTAAGAGTGGTGATATTTCCACCTCTAAAGTATCTCAATTCACCACCAAAGATTATAAAATATCATAAATACCCCTCAAATTTATATTCCACCACCTTTTCTTATATTTACTTAATCCTCATGTGTTCTAAGTTATTTCTATTTTATTTATTTAATTTAATTTATTTTATTTTTCATTATTTCTGTAATTTATTGCAACGAAATATTTAAACTTCCATATCAAATGACCTACGGATTATGTAATTTTGTTTTTAGGAAACGAAATTATATTAAACCAAACTGGCAAACTCGGGAGGAAGTTCAGAACCTTTCATACAAGCAATCTTAATTTATTTTTCAGAAAACGTGAATTCATGCTCTTTTTGACCTTCGAAAATGTTTTTGTCCAACTAAAGTATTATTCACGAGAGGGTGAGATTTCTAGTGAAAATTGTGGGGGTCTTTTTTATAACATTTTAATTAGTTTAGTGGTAGATAGTTTATAAATTTTTAAAAATATAGGTGAAAGAAGAAGAAAAGGGGTAAAATGGAAATATATTTAATTTGGTAGTGAAATAAGATATTTTGAGGGTGGAAATGGCATGTCTCTTTTTCTAATTGTTTTCTTTTTCTTTTTTTCTTTTTCCTTATTCTTCCCCCTTCCCACTAAACACGGTCAATTTTTTGACATTTTTTTTTTTAAATATTTTCTTCTTTTTTTCTTCTTCTGTTTTTTTCTCCTCCAGTACTAAATTTTCTCTCCTGTTTTAAGGACACGTTTTTATTTAATTATTTTGTTTTTCTTTTTTTCTTCTTCATTTTTTCCCTTCTCCACTAAACTCGATCAACTTGGAATTTTTTTTTTCACGTTTGTTTTTTCTTTTGAATTATTTTCTTTTTCTTTTTTTTTTCTTCTTCTTCTTTTCTTCTTTTTTCCCCCCTTTGCGGCACTGATTCTCTCTCCGTTTTTTATAGCACACGTATGTGTATTAACTTTTATTTTTAAAATATATATATAGATTGTGATTGCAATTACTGGAATTTTTACATTTTTGGTGTTCCATTGGTTTGCTATTGTACATGTCATATATGTTTATTAAGTTCTAATTTTGCTTATCTTATATTATTTTTTCATATCCGCCCGTGCAACGAACGAGGCAAAATACTAGTTTTCTTAAGATTAAGATTATGTACCGAATGCGCTGAATGTTAAGCCCTCAGATGTATGCCACATTATATATATATATATATATATATATATATATATATATATATATATATATATATATATATATATTGGCCGTGTATGTTCATCGGAATATCCTCGAAGATGGCCTTACACCGACTCTTCCAGGTCTGCCAACAACCAAACCTGAGGACTCCAAGCTCCATAATACCATCATGGGTGTTAACACTAGCCTCGGTCATCCAAACTTGCATAAGATGATGCATGGACCCATAGAAATATGGTTTCTGCCATATCCTTGCGTAATTACTCCAAACGCCACGAGCTATATCCGATTGGGCGAACAAGTGCGAGAGAGTTTCTTGTTCAGGGGCTGCACAACACCGGCATTTGGAAGGGGCCCGTCATCCGTGTAGAATAGATGAGATACGTGGAGAGCGGCCCGTGTGACTTTAATTTTTTAATAATTTCAAGTTCCTCCAAACATTTGATATGAAGAGTAAGAATCTCTTGGGCTATAATAAATAATAATGGGGAAAGGGGGTCACGTTGCCGAACTCCTCTTGATGATTTAAAATGTCCATACGATTCGTCGTTATTTAGTAAGGAATACCAAATATTGGAGAATGATTGGTACATTAAATCACACACATGATGTGAGAAACCCAAGGCTTGCACGGCTTTAACGAAAAAAGCGAAAATCGTCATTCCAATCTATCTTATGGTTCAGACATATCAACTTGAATATGATGTTCCCGCCTTCAACTTTTCTATCAATATCGAAAACAAATTCCTGAGCTATGGCTATCGATTCGTGGATGCTCCTTCCTTTCAAAAAACCCGGTCTGCTCTTCTGATATTATGCTAGGGAGAAATTCGTTCATTCGGGTGGCAATAATTCGAGAAATAACCTTGCTAGCAAAATTACCCAAACTAATCGGACGAAATTGTGTGAGATACTCCTGGAGAAGAAAAAGAAGGGTGGTGGTCATGCCTTTCGACAGGTAATCCCCTTCAAAATAGTCAGAAACTAACTGCATGAAATCCTCCTTGATTATACCCCAACATCGAACATAGAAATGGCCTGTGAAGCCATCTTGCCCAGGGGCACTATCCGGAGATAATTGTTTGATGGCCTTATAAACTTCATCTTCGCCAGGTATTTCGCAAATTCTAGTGTTCATGGCCGTGGTAACCTTGGTCTGCAAATGTACTCGATTGGACAAAGATCTAACCACTGCCAAATCATATTTTACTCCATCTGAAAAGATTGCCCTCAAAGCATGCATCAGTAAGACAAGCTTCCACCAAAAAATCGTTAAATTCTTGCATCCCTAACATATGTTCATTCATTCCTCTCTTCTTTTCTTCCAAGGTTTTTATTACGTAAAGTCTCCGCCTAGAAGCCAAGGCTCGTTACAGTTGCTACTGAAAGGGGATAAATAATCACTTAGCATAAATGAAAGTCATCTTCCCAGTGAAAAAAATTGGCATAACCACTTTCGCCGTAATACATTGAGGATTAATTTCCACCATCTCCTAACTCACCTCATCCCTCCAAAAAACCCAAATATATGAATTAAGTGGGCTGCCATGTATAAAATTTTTGAAGCCAATCCTCTGGGCAAAATTTGTAATTTTAGAAAACTGTTGTTTCGGTTCCAAAAGAAACACTATACGTAGTTTATTTTGATTAATTATCTTTAAAAGATATAGAATGGATTTCGGGTTTCCTTCACCTCCAATGTTCCACATAAGAACGGACATTAAGAAACAATGGGGCTAGGTGGTTCTTCAATGGGAATTTCTTTTCTCGGGCGACCCGGCTTTTATGTTTGATGTTAGGAGGAGATTAAGCTTTTTTCTTCGAGCTTGGTGCTAATTACAGCGCTTGAACGGTGGTGTCAGCTGCCAAATCTCGTACCTTATCTACTTCTTCCGAAGTTTGAGATTCCTCGTCTTCATCTTCTTGTGTTTGCCCATCGGAGATCGAGCCTTTATCTATGTAACGAGATTCTAGATTTGAGATAAACTCCTTTTCGGTACATTTAAAATTCCCATCTTTAACCACCAAATGCCCCAATTTCAGCTCTTCAAGACGTTGAAGAGTTGTACCAATTGGACTTGTAATTGAAAGACTTTTATTTAATTTTATGCGGAAAACCTTAATCACAGAATCTTGAAATCAAATTCATCTTAAGAATATAATCACGTAATTAGGATTATCGACATACCGTTCGCCA